CCACAGAAGGCAAAATATCAAAGCCATCACTCTGAATGCAAATGACAGAAATTGGTCTTGCCTCTCTTTTCCCTGCCTCTCAATGTCAAATCTGATGAAAGCCAAAACTTCAGCTTTATTCTGCAGAGCTCATGCAATTTGTATGGAAGCAGCTGGGGTATTTAAACCCTGTTCTCTCTTCATCATTTAGAATCATAGAATCAACTGGGTTGGAAAAGACCTCTGAGATCATGAAGTCCAAGGGCAACACTTTCAAACTGGTATATTTTAATTAGCTCAAGAACACAGGAGTCCTCTGCCTTTTTGTGAGAGTGCATTACAGGCACTTCTTGCCTAAAATCTTAACCAAAAATGCATGTTGAAAGGTAAAACTGAGTGCATTAGAGAACTTTCATTTCACTTACTATCACTCAGTGTAATACCAAAGTCATAGCTCATATAAACATTTCATAAAAATGTGATTCAAGAACCCAAAATATTCTGTGTGGAAGCTCTCTGCTTGTAAAACATTATCATCATCATCATCATTACTATTATTATTGCTAATGCACATTGGTATTGTTACAGACATATGGATGCAAGAGAATTTTCAAGCATTCCAGACATCAGTTGCAGGGACCAAGAGACCACAGCTCCCTCACACCTCTGCATTTGCACAAACTGCCTAAAAACTGGACAATTACATGGCAAGGTCTACATAAAATACAAATCATGCAGCCCTGTAGAATAGGGTTAAGTCTAACACTGCATATCGAGCTCTTCTTGAGCGGCTGGTACTTGGCAGAGGCACAGCTTACTTTAACTTGGAAGAAAATTAAATACAGAGTACTGAGTAGTGTCTACCATGGATTTCATATAAATGTAGAACTTTAAAAACTATGGAACCATAATTTTTAAAGCTCTACATTTATATGAAATCCCCTGTTTTTAAGGCCTCAGCCTTTGGCAAGCACATCACAGGTGAAATTCATGCACAGGAAATGACATAAAATGAAACCAGAATTGAAGGACAGTAAACACATCCCCAGGCTGCTCCCAGACAAACACGACAGGCACACACATGGTGTGGTGCTGTGCTCAGAGCAAAATGGGTAGGGCTTCTCTTTGTCGCACAGGCAGACCCAAACCATGTATTTCAAGTTTGCAGAAAGACTGATTTTGCACAAACACAGCAATTAAAACCTTGCTAACATTTCAAGGGAGGTGACTCTACTCCTCCGCTTTACCTTCCCAAGACCCCACCTGGAGAATTACAATCAGCTCCGGGGCCCTCACTATAAGAAGGATGTGGACCTCATGGTACAAGGTCCACAGAGGAGGCTGTGAAAATTATTAGAGGGCTGAAGCACTTCTCCTATGAAGACAGGCTAAGAGAGCTCAGGTCATTCAGCCTGGGGACGAGAAGGCTCCTAGGAGACCTTATAGCACTTTCCAGTACCTAAAGGGGCCTACAAGAAAGGTGGAGAGGGACTTTTTATAAGGGCATGTAATGATAGGACAAGGGGGAATGGTTTTAGACTGAAAGAGGGCAGATTAGATATTAGATTAGATATTGGGAAGAAATTCTTTACTGTGAAAGTGTTGAGATACTGGAACAGGCTGCCCAGAGAAGCTGTGGATGCCCTAGCCCTGAAAGTGTTCAAGGCCAGGTTGGATGGGACTTTGAGCACCCTTGTCTAGTGGAAGGTGCCCCTGTCAATGGCAGAGGCGTTGGAACTGGATGATCTGTAAGATCCTTTCCAATCCAAACCATTCTATAATTCTATGATTTACCTGGTGGCAGTTCACCTGAGGCAGTGACAAGCACTTTGCCTTGATGCTTCTTCGCTGCACAGGTGCAGCAGACTTGATGACAGTCAAAGCCTCATGCACACTGCATCATATCAAGACATTAGTTTGATGCTATGGTACACATTTCCCAGTTCACAGCATCATTTACTCAATGTGTTGACCCTGTCCTGGAAACATAAATGCTGAATGCTCAAAATATGTAGAAAACCTCAGCAACATATTACGGACAAGGAATCTGAAATGGAGTCTTGCCAAAGACCATATGTAGAACTAATGAAAGGACTAGACACTGAGCATAAACGGCACATCATCTCATATTTTTATCCCTCCATCTTCACACAACATGGCTCAAATAAGACAACACAAGTCTTCTGCTCAGTCTACAGCCTTCTCCTCAAAGAAACTGTTGTTGAAAGGAAAAGTATGGGCAGCACAAGTTGCCTTGCTTGCCACATCCCTCTGCATGGGTACATAGTGTCAGCGGCATCTGTTCCCACTGGTAACATGGGGATAGGAGCTAGAGACATACCTCCTCTCTGTCAGGAGCTTGCAGCACCTCCCCACAGGATACAGAGAAATCCCAAGCACTGGGATATGGATCCTGAGGATGCCAAAAAGGTACAGCATCACTCCTCAGCACGGAAAAAATGGGAAGAAGATAAAAGCACAGAACAAGGCTAAAAAGAAACTAAAAGCTGCTGACTTGAACATTTCTCAGAAAATTACTGAAGTAGGCTGCAGAAGTTCTGAAGTATTTCACATTTGCCTTCACAGGAGCCCTCTCAATTAAGTGTGCTTTTTCCCTTTTTGTCCTCACTTATGCTGGGGCACAACTTTTACATGCTTTTCTGTTATCAGGCAACAGATAGTCCAACCATGAGTCACACTGTTCATGGAAAAAACCCAAACTTTCCATCAAACCAAGTTCAGTTACAAACTAAACTCTCTCTAGCACCTCAGAATTGGTAGAAGATCCCCAGAGACAAACTCTCCTCTTAAAACTGTCAGTAACTGCCTTTACATTGCTGTGGCTGAAGTACATAAGTGAGTCCTGACTGTTTTCTGTCATGAAACGCTGACATTTTCACTAATAAATAGCTATTTCTCTGTCTTTTTGGAAAGTACAACAGTACTGTGTCCGATCCACAGCACTGCAACCAGGCACTGAGGAACTGGTGTTTGCTGTGCTGTGAATCCCAGCAACTGAGCACATGGGCAAAGTTCCCTGTTACTGCTACACGCTGGCACCACGCCAGCTGGATCACCCCAGGAGTGCAGAAAGGATGCTGTGTCTTCACTGTGCCTTCCCAAATTCCCTCAAAGCAGAAAACACATCCTGAAGTGATTCAGGGTCAGATGTCAGACAGCAACTCAGATTAGTGTTGACTTTAAAGAGTACTATAACTGTTTTAGAAGTCAGATTGCCTGAATAAAAATGCCAGTAGATTACAACCTATGTGGTCCATTGGTAATTTTTAAAAAAATAATTTCACAGCCTAGAACATGAGAAGATTAAGAAGATCCTTAAGGTAAACTTTATGCCATTCTAATCACACCCAAATTAGTTATGCAAGTGTAATGAAAGCAGCATAATTATACAACCTTTTGACTCCTTAGCAATGCTTATTCCCCATGTTTTCAAAACAACTAAATTATAACCATACTCATCTCCCCTAGGACAGTATGGCACCGTGACTCTGATGGTTCAGGCTGTGCAGGGTCAGGAGGTGCAGCAGAGGTATTTCTGAACACTCAAACTCATTTGCCTGGGTAATCCTGCAAGGTCAAACCATTTGCAGACATTAAGTTCAAGAAAAATTGCATACACTGTTGAAAAACCCTTTAATGCTTGTTGTCTTAGTCTTGGTAGACAGGATGAAAGGATTCAACCTGAAAGCTGTATCTAAGAAACAAGGTAGAGAGAAAGTCTTAATGCTGAAAGGTAAATGAACACCATCTAGGCAGACAATATGTTCCAAACAGCTAAACAAAATGAAAAAATACTTATGTCCAAAAATGGCAAATAATCCCAGAGACACAAATTTTTTTTTTTCAGAATTCCAAATCCATATACAGATACTTATCCATAAAAGCACTTAGATTTAAATGCTGACTAGCATTTTCATACTGCGTTTGCCCTTCAAAACCAATTCTAACACCCTTCACCTGGTATTGTTGCAAAAAGGCATCTTTTTCTCTTACTGTACGGACTCCCTTTCAGTTTCTAATTGAATTATTTGTCCACTAGTAAAGTAATAAAATTCTTAAAGAAGCAAATTTAAATGACTACAAAGAAGTTTTCTGAGCTTGCCATTTCTTCCTCTTTCACACACTCTGCCTCCTTGTTTCATCACTTGCAGAAACTGGAGTGGCCCAAAGGACGGAAGTGCGAATAACGGTACTTGCACATATTACAAATGGAGCAGTCAGCAGCATTCTAGCTTAAACTCACTTACTAATATACAGAAATCTGGTTCTTTTCCCAGTGCAGAAAATGAAAGTATAAGCTGAATACAATCTGTACAGCTCCTCCAAAAAGAAAACAAGTTGGTTTAGTATGAGAGGTAGGGCAAAATGAGAGCTGTATCAGTAATCATCAAAGCAGAAATGTATCATGTGCCACATAATGTACAGCCAAAAAGCAAGCTGGCAAGGCACAGTATTTTCAATCTAAAAGGCCCCTTTTCAGTGACATAAGAGATCATAGAACTGAAGAATCATTTCAGTTGGAAAAAACCTTTGAATACAACTGTTAACCCAGCATTGCCAAGTCCACCACTAAACTGTGTCCCCAAGTGCCACATCTACACATCTTTTAAATACCTCCAGTGATGGTGACTTCAACAACTCCCTGTGCAGCCTGTTCCAATATCTGAACACCTTTTCAGGGAAGAATTTTTTCCTGATATCCAATCTAAACCTCCCCTGGTGTGACTTGAAGCTTTTGTCCTATTGCTTGTTACTTGGGAGAAAAGACTGACCCCCATCTGGCTACAACCTCCTTTCAAGTAGTTGTAGAGAGCAATAAGGTCTCCTCTGACCCTCATTTTCTCCAGGCTAAACAATCCCAGCTCCCTCAGTCATTCCCCATGGCACTTGTGCTCCAGACCCTTCTCCAGCTCCCTTCTCTGGACACGTTCCAGCACCTCAATGCCTTTCCTGTACTGAGAGGCCCAAAACTGAACACAGGATTCGAGGTGTGGCCTCACCAGTGCTGAGTACAGGGTGACGATCACTGCCCTGGTCCTGCTGGCCACACTGATACAGGCCATGATGTCACTGGCCTTCTTGGCCACTGCTGGCTCATGTTCTGCCATGCCTGATGCCAAGGACTGCCTGCAGCTGGCAGGAAGGTCAGGAGCGGTGTGTGTCCATCTTCCTGCGAGTCCTCCTCAATCACATCTGCACTTATGATCTCCTTTTTTCTAAAAGTTCTCTTTCTGACAGGAATACAAGCCAGTCTGCAACACTGTATTGCACGCAGCAAGGAAAAAAAAATAATAAATTTAACCCCCCAACCACAGAGCCAAACCCCGGACGAACACCGATGTGAAACCGGCAAGCGCTGCTGCTTTACAACCAGGACGATCTCCACGCAGGTCAGGGCTAATTCTGCACTCAGGATACACCAGTTCCCCAAGGAAACCCAGGCCCACCTCGCACACCCAGCACTTCCCCCCAGACCCTCGGCCGGTCTCTGCCCAGGCAGTGCCCGCAGCCCCCGGCCCCGACGCGGCAGGGCCGAGGCAGGGGCAGGCACACCCGAGGCGGTCCCGCCGCGAAGAACCTTTGGAGCAGCCTTCCGGCGTCGCCGCCACTTCGGGAAAAAGAGCCCCAAAAGAGCCAAGTGGAAAAATAAAATTGAGAAAAAAATAAAGAAACAACAGAAAAAGGCAAACGCTCGCCGCGACCCTCCGGGACGCCCCTTCCAGCCCCCCGCAGCGCCTCACCCGCTCCGCCGCGCTCCGCCTGCGCCGAACCCCGGGCACCCAACCCCGGCTACGAACCAGCGCCGGCACCGCCCGGGGCGGGGATGCCGCGGGGCCGCCCCGCTCCCCGCCCGGCCCGGCCCCGGTTCTGGTCCCGCTGCCGCCCGCGGCCCCAGCCGTGCTCGGGGAGCGGGGGCACCCGCGGGCGCGCTGGGCGCAGACCCCATTTCGGGGAGAAGGGGTAACCCTTGTCCTTCATCTCTTGGCCTGTCTTCCAGCTCTAGAAACGAGCGGAGTTCTCAGTTTTGCCCAGCAACCTCTGCCGCTCCTCCATCGGTTAGGTACAGTTTGTGCTCAGGTGTCACACTGAACTACATCACATTTTATAGCAGCATAGAATCACAGAATGATCTGGGTTGGAAGGGACCTTTAAGATCATCTAGTTCCGACCTCCCCCCGCCATGGGCAGGGACACCTTCCACTACACCAGGTTGCTGAAAGCCCCATCCAGCCTGGCCTTGAACACTTTCAGGCACGGGAATGCCTGGAACACTTCCAGGGATTCCAGTTCCCTTAATGGAGACCAACGTCATCAGCATCTGTCTGAATTCTAGCCACGAACTGCAAACACAACACAACTTAATTACTTCAAAATTGTTGATTGGTTTTGGTTTTTTCCCCTCACTAAATGTTGATTTCCTCAGTAATTCACTGATTAACAAGTTGACATGCAGTCATCCAAAAAGAAATTCCCCTTTGCCGGGTATCTTTCGTTATAAGTCTTTCAGTTATTTCTCTTCAGTCATTTCTCCCAGCTGTATGCACAAAATTTGCATATACTGCTGTACTTTCTTTTCTGGTTACACATTAAAGAAGAATGTTCTTCCATATCACTAGGGACATTGCAAGAAAAACAGAGAGGAATTGTAATGGTCCAAACAAGGACTTAAATCTTTTACAGAGTTACAAGCAATTTGCTCCAATACAGAGCTAAGAGGACCTTAAAGGGTCTTTTGTTATTGTGTTTTGTTTGGGTTTGTTTGGGTATTTTTCCCTAAAATATCAGAAGATATTAAAATAGTTGGAGATCAAAAATCAAGACTTTTCATGAAACAGTGAAGAGATTTGTACTGCCTGGCATGAATATCAGGTTGTTTCTCCCTCCATCTCAGCTAATTGGGTAAGGAACAAAATAGGCAAAAGCTGCTAAATATCTGTGTGCCAAGTGCTCACTTAGGAGCGCTTACAGAGAAAGCCATGAACACATTTATCTGGGTAAAACAAAATCTAGGCTTAAAGACCAGCTAAAAATAGCAAAAGTAAATAGTTGACTTAGGAGGCCCAAAGCTGTCAGTTGTGTAGCACTGTGTGCTGCTGCATCAAAAAATCCATTTGGAAAAAAAATTTCCCAAGTGCCACCTCTGTACTTTTCTGTAGCATCAGCAACTTGGTGCTTTCCATGTGGACATGAAATTTGTGTTTTAACATAACTGTGTCTCAGGAGCTGCAGCTAAGAGAGATGCTGTCAGGATATAGCTTACATGGCATCCACCTGCAAAGATTCCAAGGTACCTGGGATTTATTTCTGAGATATATCTTGTCTGCAGCTATCATAGACTTCAGCTTCCCTTTCCAACTTTTTTCTTGCCTTGCCTAGGCCAGTCTTGGTGCCACTGGATGGTTTAGCATTCCTCTTTCTGCCCTCTCTTAACCTGTTAAGATCTTAGGATTCAATGGGTGATTTCCTTGTGCAGACAGGCCTGAAAGTTAGTGTTTATCTGGCTGCTGACTCATCAGAGAATAATTCATAGTACAAACACTACAAATCAATCCCTATATCAGTGAGCCCTTCCCACTTCCCAGCTCTCTGTTCTCTCCTCCGTGCATTTATTCAGCACTTCAGTGCAATCTGGAGAATGGCCTATGCCCCTGTGCCCCCCTCTATGCATGGGAATAAGCCCTGGGACAAAACAATCAATAAGAGATCTCTTATTTGAAATCTCTTGGGATAATTTTCTAAGACTTTCCATTGTGCCCTTTCTTCCTCCTTAAACCTCTTCTCTAAGTCACTATGAAGAACTATCTACTACCTTTTTCCATTTGCAGGCTTCTCAAGGAGAATTCTGTCTCTTCTCCTTGCAAGTCAGCGAGATGGGACAGCCTCTACCTGCCTCCCTCCTTGGCCTCAGGTGCAGACACCATGGTGAGACTGAGCCAGGTAACACACAGACCTCCTGCACTCATATTCAGCTAACAGGCTTTGAAAACTGCCAGGGTTGGGGCATCCACAACTTCCCTGGGCAGCCTGTTCCAGTTTCTCACCCCCCTCACAGTAAAGAATTTCTCCCCAATGTCTAACCTAAATTTTCTATCTTTCAGTTTGTACCCATTACTCCTTCTCCTTTCACTACAGTTCCTTAGGAAGAGTCCCTCTCCGGCTTCCCTTTAGGCCCCCTTCAGACACTGGAAGGTTGCTATGAGATCTCCATGCAACCTTCTCTTCTCCAGGCTAAATAGCCCCAACTTTGTCAGCCTGAGTTTGTAGGGAAGGTCCTCTTACCAACTGTGTGGCCCTGCTCTGGGCTTTCTCCAACAGAACAACGTAGGGAGCTAGAGAAGGCCTTGCACAGAGCATGCATTCAACAGGTTTCTGCAGAAATAATGCATTCTCTGCTTTGCCTCCAAGTAGGCAGCAGTTCCATGGGGACAAAGGGAGAGCTCCAGGGAGCTCAGACTGGATGCAGCCTGAGTTTAATACTCTTCCTCTAGACGTCCTGGTCATGGGATTTGGCACATGTTTGTGACACTCAAATAAGGCTATGTGCTGATGGCAAGCTTCTACTGCTTAGGGATATTTATGATATTTTCTTCCTTTAGGGGAGCATTATGAACGTTCATATAACATGAACCTCCAGGTTTTTCTGCAGGTCATGGCATTTCCAAGCTGCAGCCATGAGTGGGACCACCTCCCTCTGCTTGTACCCACATGAGACTGCATAGCAGTTACAGCAGAAGCTTATACTGAAACCCATGCTAAGGAAATGTGAAGACATTTTAACAGTGTCTGTTTAAACCCACAAATCAGCAGCCAAAGCAACAGCCAAAGCTCTGTTCTTGCACCCATCTGCAGGTGAGAAGCAGGATTATAACCATGGCCCCAAGAATATAAACAGTTCAAAAGGAGTGCTGAGACAAAGGCAACAGCATCCAACCCAGTAAAAGTAGGAAACCTGAGTACAGAACTAGTGAGAGCTTCCTCCTTCAGTTTTTCAAGTCCATTTTTAACAGTCAAGAACCATTTCCTTGTTTGTTGTAATTTATTATAACTACCAAGGTCAGGTAGCCCAACACAGGTAAAAGCAGTACCCATGCAGCTGTGATCAGCAGCACAGGATTTTTCTCTAGCTGACCACCAGGTTGTTGACAAGCTAAAATTTAGAGCACAGCTGTATGAACTTACCGACACTTCTCTTTGAGTGGTTAATTCTGCTTTGCTTTCCTTGCTCAGTGAACTGGTCTCTGTTCTTACTTGCCCTTCTGTTATGTTGCCTCTGCATCTCCTCTCCAGAGTATCCCCCCAGCTGGATTTCTCTCCCCTGACTTCTGCTGGGTTTAGAAAATGGGTCTCTACAGACTCAGCCTGTCTTCACAGATCAACAAGCCGTGAAAGGATCTGGCTTCCTGTTTCATTTCCGTTAAAGTTTTCAAAGTCACACAGGCTGTCTATGCTTCTCCATATCCAAGCCACAACAACAACAACAAAAAAGAGCATAACTCAGCTATTTCTAAAGGTCACATTGCTACCTCTCTCTACATCTTCCAAGTTGCTTGCAGGATGGAGATTGCAGGCCGATTTTCAAACTGTGATGTATCATCCATACATGTTTTCTATCTTAGTGGTAGTCCACAGAGAGTCACAGCCCCTTCTTTTCAACTCCAATGTCATGTTTGATAGCTAAGCTTTTAACATTACTATCGTGCAATCAGTGTGCTTTCTGTAGGAACACTTTGAAGTGCAAACAGGTGGTCCACACAAGCATCCATTCCATATTAAGACATAGACTGTGCTATGTAAAAGCAAAGTTTACACAGATACAGTTAAATCACTTCCATAGATTTTTAATAGGAATAAGCAAAAGGGTCCTTTGAGACATTCTTTCCTTTTCCCTCCTCACTCGTTGCTTTAAATTAAATGAGAAAAGTGGTTTCTCTACAGTATCAGGCTACTAATTGTCTCTTAATTACACTGTTGGAAGATAAATCCCAATACCCTAGCTTACAAATTCACTAGTCTCCCACTCTGAAAATACCCACAAGTTCTTGTTTCAGAGGCAGAAGCAGCCATTTGCCCTGCCAGATTCCTCTTCTGTTGACTGTTGCTCCATGTTACACATGGATTTAAAAAAAAAACAAACAGTACAATTACTGACTCACATTTTCCCTTTCACTAGAATGTTGGTTTCCCTTTCTACATCTTTTATTCCAGTATTTTTTGTCAAATTAGTTTTAAAATGCTATTTTTCCATTATCGCCCTTGAATCGGGAACATTTGTTAAAAACAATAAATTTGGAAAGGTGGAGTTGGGGAGATAGCTGTTACCTATATTACATTAT